ATGGTCTAATTTGACTTCCAAATCACTGTAGGGTTTGGGTGTTTTGTAATGTTATCATTCACTAAAGCTAATGTCTTCCACCAGCAACCTACAGGTGCCTTGAATACCTTGTGTGTCATCTGAGGGGCAAGATATCAGAGAGAGCATCACAGGCTGGGGAAGAGGCAGAAAATAACAGCTTGGACTCTTCTCCCTTGTCACCTCTCTGAGCAGTGAGTTATATGAATCATGTCCAAAAAAAGTGTAGCTCTGGCATTCCTCCACACTGAATACACTCACAAAAGTAAAAGAAACATGAACAAATATTTAAAATACTTGTCTTTCAACAAAGAAGCCACCTCATGCATGGCTCAGGTATAGCCTTTCAGTAACTCAACAGATAAACAGTCTGTTTACCTCTTCATTCTTTTTCAGATGTAATGCTATTCATGGCACTGGTTTTTCAGTACATACACATCTATACAGATTTGTCTATAAGAAAACTTACTATGAAAAAAATTAGGAAAAAAACCCACTTTGCCAATGTATCCTTTAAGTGCAAGAACATCAGTGTGGGCTAAATTAAGGAAATTTATGGAAGTAAGCATGAGGAATCAAACATACTCATAAACAAAATACCATTGTGTCCAAAAAATGAAAGTATCACTTGCAAGAAATTAATGGGAAATGATGTATATTCCACAAAATAAACAGAACCAGTGGGAGCTACATGGTTCCAAAAACATTTGCACTTTTAAAAATGGTTTCGTTTTGGTGTCTTTGCTTTAACTGATAGCCCTGCAGAAGTCTATTTTTCTTGGCAGTGCAGTTAATCAGTTAAGTATGTTGATAAATATCCAAAAGTACCTTTATCATTTCAGAATCATTTTTTTTATTACTCAAGAGCTAGCTATATTTCCAAGAGGCTCACACACGAAGCTAATGTTAATATTATCAGGTGAGCTTCTCATTTATCAGCAATGAAGTAAAAGTGTTTGCTCAGACTTAAGCAAATATCTGAATATAGCACACACTTGCTGTACTTGTTCTTCAGGCACAGATCTCAAATGTGATGGTAATACAAGTCCTTTATTATTTTTTATTCCACCATCCTCAATGGAAATATTTATAAATTCTAAAGTACTGGCAAAAAAAAAAAATCCAGCCAAACAAACAAAAAATCCAACCAAACCACAAAAGCTCATTCTTCCTTTTTAAATTGAAGTTATGCAGCTACAGTTACACCTAAAGATTTACTGTGCTGAAAGATGGTGAGGGTACCAGAGATATTTTCCCTCCTTAAAATGAGTAAGAACTAAGCCTTGTTTTCATCTCTACCATAGCAGTAGATTTTAATGTCTTCCCAGTGTATTTGGTATCTGAACAAATCCAACAGGCTTCCTAATTTTACTATAAATCCGTTCATTTTCTGATGCAGCTGAAATGATTAAGGCAGATCACAGAATACAGTTAGGACATCCAAAACACTTCACCTAGTAAAAGAAGTCAATCCTCCCAGATAGTGTCATGGAAATGGACAGATACTTAGATGTTAGTAAAGCCAAACAACATGACAGATACTTGAAAGGAAAAAAAATAAATTAGTCAAAAGCTGGAAGGTGCAGTGTTCATGCTTATCTCATTTTTACAACAGTATGTTTTAATGCTGCACAGCAGGGTGGATTTTTACAGCTGATAGCGACATAATAAGTCATTCAAAAATAAAAGAGAAGATATTTACTTACTTCTCAGAGGCTTTTAATGTCTCGCCGTCTTTTGTCCAAGTATATTTCACTTCACTAATAACACCTGTTTCACACAGTAGATTGACAGCATGAGTATTCTTGGTCAGAAAAACTGTATTTCCAATTCGTACAGTTAAAGTTTTGTTGAAGGAAACTCGAGGAATTTCCTTTTGCCTCATAATAACTGGAACCTTCTGGTCAAACATTAACTTATCAACAGTTTTTGTGCTGAAACGTTCAGATTCATTTGGTGATTTGCCCGTGAGTTTTGAGGCGAGTTTCTCACCCTGAGCCCCCTTCCATTTCTCAGTGGTTGGTTGTGGAGGCCTAGATAATTCAGCAACTAATTGGTAAATGATCTGGGATGCCAAATCATCATTGACCTCTCCAGTTTCAATGAGCTCACTCATGTTCCTTATCAGTTCTTCAAACTGCCCGGTGTCCATGCTGTAGGCGCCCTGGAGAACTGCTGCCTCCAGACGTTTATTCTTGAATTCACGAGAGCTGAAGTCTTCTGCTGAATTACTTCCAAAGGTTTCAAGATTTCGCAGGAACGGCTGATCATTTATTTGCCTGTCACCCAGATAGAGCTCGTTCTTCTTACTCCACATTTGCCACATTTTGCTCATTTTATGCCATTTGGCCCCAAAACTGTTTGCTTCGTTGTGATCTGTGTTACTGGTCTCACTGGCATGTTTTCTAAGAGCTGGTGGTTCTATCAGTCTGTTGTCAGTACCAATGAGTTTGAGTACAAATGTCTCATGCACAGAGCCTGCAATACATCGGTACACACCGATGTCAGTAGCTTCAAGACTATGTATTTTGAGTGAGCCTGACTTAGTGATGCCAAGTCTTTTGGAGTTCTGTAAGTGTTGTCCATCTTTCTCCCATCGGATAAGTGACTTCTGGAACCTTCGTACAGGACACTTAATTACAACAGATGTTTTGGGAAGTAAGTAGGCTCGGCTTCCTATGGTGAAGTTGATGCGCTTCTCTTGTCTTGTCTGAATATACACTCGGTGAATACTGATAATCTGAGGTCCATGAGCAGAATACTTTTCTGGAAGCTTTGGTTTAATCTCTGAAAGAAAACAAAATGTTGAAAAGTCTCTAAACATTGGCACTCATACTTACAAAATCTTCTTTTCACAGAATGCTTGACAGAGCTTTTCCTGACTTTGTTCAAGTCAGATTGCAACATGCTAAGCTTTTATCTGATTCACAAAAATCCAAAAATACGAACAACATGAAGCCATAACATTCCCCTGGACCAGCCAAGAATCCTGTCACCTCTTCCCCAAATCTCCTAACAATAAGAAGACACAGTCAACATATACCTTGTGAAGGACATAGGTGGTGCACACATACGCAAGTGTATATATGCATGCATGATAGAACACAGTAATTTATACTATAGATATAATCCCATTACAGTTCTCTTTCCTATATCTTTCCAACTGCAGCCTCAGAAAGGCTAGGCATGACAGGAATGGAAAAACTGAATAAAAAAAATTTGAACACATTATCACTTTCCCCACATTTGAGCACTGTCAAGTGCAGAATGACCTAAACCAAAATCTATCCAAAAAAATGAGGCTCCCCTTGACTGCTATTTAAACAGTTGGCTGGCTATGCAGGTTGTTGACTGAGTCAAGCCAAATTGACAGCAACATAGGAGGTGAAAGAAACAGTCAATGAAGACACAGTACAGCCACAACAAGCAAAGCCACCCCGTCATCATTGGCTGAGGGTAATTTCTTTGGGTTGAAAGATGACTTGCTCCAAGTATTGTGCCAAGAAAGTAAGGAAAGGATGTAAGTAAGGAAAAAGAAATAAGTCAAACTTTTGAGAGGTTGATTATAGCTATCAGATGAATTGACAAAAGCAGACAATCACAGTGTAAAGCTTCATGCAAACCAGGTGTGGAGACAGTGGGTATTATAAAGCTCCTCCTGTACTGCACTGCAGGCACTTGGATGCTGAAAGGTTTCTAGGGAGCTGCCTGAACGAATGCCACCAGAGGCAGGCTTCCCCAGCAGTGGCAGGGTCCACACACTGGAGACAACAGGAGAACACTGCCATGGTCCCACGCCACCGTGCCGACTCACTCACTGCTGGCAAGGGCCACGCCCCGCTTTGACCAGCAGAGCTCATGTCACCAGAAAAACACCAGGCGTGGAGCAAGGGCACACCCCCAAGGCAGTCCCATGCAAGATGAAACTGGCCAGCTGGAAGAGTCAGGAGACACTGTGTCGGTGCTAGAAAACAATTCCGTTGTGTTTGGTGACCCAGACTTTTGGTCTGTGACAGAGAAAAATGTCAGAGCCTGCAGAATGAGTTGAGAATGAGCCAGGAAATGGACACACAAATCTAAATGCTCCTTAGCACACCTCAACCTGAAATCTTTACTACTATTCTACTTGGTAGGATATTATACATAAATAGGATTTTATACATAAATAAAATAACAGCTACATTGATGGCACACAAATAATATTTGAAAACTACGTGTTTCTTACATACATATGCTTCAAATATGCTGTGAAGAAATAGGTGAAAAGCTAAATGCTTCAAGCATTCAATAAGTGTGTACACTATATGAACTACACCCTAGAGTGCATTCTTATGCTTATAAAACAAAATGGTTATTTTCAGTGTTTGGGGTAACAAGTCCAGACCTGTGGGGATATCATGGTTTCATAATTACACAGCTTTTAAATCCTTATTTGTTATCCAGATACATGGTTCCCTCAACCGTTTCACATGCTACAACAAATAAATTGCTTTAGGCACTCAGTTTACTAAAATTCTTAAAGTAGCGTCCTGTTTTTAATAAGTTATTGGGCCCAAAATATTTATTTTTAGGGAAATGTTCCAGTATTAAATATTCCATTTCCAAAATCCAACTTACAGACACAGTAAGTGTAACTTTAAACACACAAATTAAAATACTTCAGCCTGTGGTCTGTTTACACTAGTTATTCCAACATGGAATTAAACCCAGTGCATACTTATAAATATGTTAACAAGTCTCATCCATTTCATTTTTTAAAAAAAGAAAGACCACTAACCCTCGTTAGCAGTTCAACACTAAAGGGTGTGTATATTTTTAGTGGTGACTGGTGAGCAAGGCTAGGAGTGAAACAAAGTTCAGAGCTGTGAATGCTAGGCTGTATAAATAAGGTCATATGAATAGATGAGGCCACGTAAGTGTGTGTTTGCTAGATCTGTGGTATCATCCAGTCTTGCAGCTGCTAAGGTAACAAACCGTTTGGGAGAGTTTGTTTCTACAAGGTAAGTCTTGCTTAAGGATTATATCGTACTGGAGTCATTGGACCTCATTATCACCTGGTACAAATCCATCTGCTTCCAGGACCTCTAATGGTCCTCTGCAGCTTCAGCTGGGCCTCAGGTCCCAGTGACCTCAGGGCTGGACTGGTGTTATTTCCCATTTCTCAGAGCCCACAGTCAGGAATGTTTATGACTCAATGAGGCCTATTAAGTAGAAAACAGCTATGATTACCAGTCCCAGGGTAAAGAATTAAGTCTAAAAAGCCTCATCATTGTCATAAGACAGTGAAAAAAGGAGCTCATCTAAGCCACAGAAGCATAATCTTGAGGAGGCACATTCAGAAACACTGCTCTCAAAGACAAGAGCCCCTAACAGCACACATGCCATGCACCACATCACTCCCCACTGAGTCCACTTCACTCCTTGTAGTTAGCCATCTGCCTGTCCTAGGGCCGTGCTAGGTTCCTGCCTTCTATTCACTCCCCCTTCAAGGCAGCCTGAATCCATGGCTGCAGGAGGAGATACCTCCTGCATGTTCCTGTGAATCCAAAGCCTGCTGCTGTCCCGGCTCCTTCTGCAAAATCCAAACTGGAACTATCGGTACGGACATGTCTCATGCCTTCCCCTGCCCTCCTGTTGCACAGCCAGGGAACTGCCAGGCAGATCTGAGCTGCAAGGGCTCCCTTGTTCCAAAGAACAAGGTTGTGGAGACGAAGGAAGAGGACAGCGATTCTCTTCTATGACTTTGATCTGCACCCATTCAGCACCACTGCATCCCCACTGCAGTCACTGTCCTGCTTTCCCAGCACTGTGGTGGAAGCTGACAATGCAACTTTAATATCAGTCTGTGCTAAACAATTTGCAAACTGGCTACACTGCCATTCAACTATCCACAATTAATTAAATTCAGATAGATATGCAGCTCAAAATATTTTATTAAACCTTATGCCAAGGACATTCCTGAAAGTCCACAGGGCTTTATTTAAGTGGAGTTTTGAACCTCAGGATTTTGGCATGTTAATCTGAAATGAAGGCCAGGAAAAGAAGCTTCATATTATGTATGAATCAGTAATTATTCTATTTCTTATTTTGTTTTGTGAATAAATTTTAAAGCAAAGCTTCAAAATGTATAAAGTAGCTATTTCTTGACAGCACTGTGAATTGGGTCAAAACACATCTATCTCTGTGATCAAAATCGGGCCATTCATGAAGGCTTTTCATTTTCCCTCACCTCAAAACTACACACTTTCCTTTATTCCTTTCTTTTCAACACTCCGCTCCCCAAATCTACAAACAAATCCTCTCCATTATAAGGGAAGGGGAGAACAGGTTCAGACAGAAGGAACTTGCATTTAGAACTTCCTATTCAAAATTACTGTAATTGAACATACTTGGTATCACTAAGGTATTTTCATTGGCATTACACACAGGCAACTAGTGCAACTACCATGAGTGTCATAACCCAACTGGGTCCAAACTGTACAATTCCTATAGACAATCTTTCTGAAAATGTTTTTATGTAAACAGTAACAAAACACTGGATTATTTGAAGAGTGTCTGCACTGTCTTCACTTCCTGCGAATCTCATGAAACTGGGATTCTCATTTCTACAAGGAAAGATAGAAATTATAACTAAAGTTATCGCTGGCAGAGAGTTTCAGGTTTTGAATTCCACCATGCTAAGCAAAATGTCCAGTGTAATACAAGTGTATGGTGAAAAGACAAGCCAGGAACGGATTCTTATCTTTTCTAATGTCATTTGTAATTTATGGCTTTTTAAACTTATTTTTTTTTAAGTTTGGATAGTGTAAAAGATAAAGAAAAAATCAGGTTAAATGTAGGTAAGTATAAGTAAGAGATATGTACCATTAAAATGTATTCAAAAACTACTTCTTGAGATCATAACCTTTATTTCTGACTAGCAAAAAAAAAAAATTAAAACCAGTCCCGTTATTACTGGTCTAGTAATTATGATATTCAGTTTATGCCAGATTAGTAATGTTGTGAAAGTATGGGGAGATGACTGAATTAACCTGTTTACAGATTTTTCCTTATAAATAGATCATTCCAAATCAGCAAGAAGCTACATAAATTAACATACTTACTATTGCAGTCATTCATCTGACAAGACCTTACAAGCAGTGAAGGAGACAGACCACTACACATTGATCCATTTAATGTGACATATTGGCCCTTTGCTGTTAGGTTTTGGCAGGCAACTTTCCTCCTCTGGATTCCAACACCGCAGCTTACTGAGCACTGTGAAAGGAAGGATGCAGTCAGACTAAACGTGCTAATTTTAAACTAGTTTGTTGGTTTTAGTTTTTTTTTTTTTTTCTTCTGAAAGAGACTGCACATGCTTTACTTCATATGAATCCTTGTGTTATTCAGATATTAAGCTCTGCTTTTCCAGAGAATAAGAATATAAGACAGACAATTTCTTTCACCAAGAAACTCAGGAACAATGCAAATAACATGATAGTATTTCTTTATGCCCAACCATGGGTAGAACAGAGCAATGAGATCTAATATCTAAGAGAAAAAATTCAGTATATTCTAAATAGTCTGTGTCAGGTCTCCCAACTGTCTCTCCTAGTTTGCATTTCATGAACCTTTGATTGCAGCTTCTAAAGTCTGTTTTATAAATATTTTTGAACAGAGAGCAGTAACAAACTTGCTTACATCCAATGGGAAAGGAAGAGGACATATTCCAGAATAATGCAAGGATCTGTGTTTTGGAAGCCATACTATGCGATAACTGTTAGCTAGACATGTCTGGTCGAATGCATTGGCATTACAGCCTGTCCTTCAGCAACTGAAATACAGCTCAGGAAGAGGGCTGTGATCAGTCTGGTTATAGGCAGGGATGCATAGCAACTGCATGCAGTTTAGTCCAACTATGTGCCTTTATGAAACCTTCAGCTACAGTGTAAACTTGCTGCACCAAACATTCACTGAAGCAGGAATCTTTAGATCTCATGTTGCAATTGCAGCTTTTAGCTTACCATTTTTGAGGGCTACTCACCTTGGACCATTCTCCAAAGACTAGCTGAGGAGGACAATCAACTTTAGCACATGGTTTAGTAGATGGCAATTTAGGTTTCTGGCAGGTGTCATCAGCGTGTTTCAGGAAACTTCCATCTGTCAGCAGCTGCTTACAGTACACTCTGCGGGTCTGAATCCCTCCTCCACAAGTACGTGAACACTAACAAGAAGAAGAGAATGTAGCATGTACACCTGCACGGACATCTGTGTTCACCCATCAGATGGTTATTGCACACAAACACTGTAAGCCGCTCTCCCCCCCTTATGCTCTCTTGAAAAATGACATCTACCTTCAAATAGAAAGAAAGCAGCATGTAGAAAATTCTTAGGTTAAAATGTTTAGCTAATGTATTAGAGATTGTAAAACATAAGTGAAAAAGTTACTCCACTTGAATACGATTAAGTAGTAGAAATCTTAGAGAGAAATGTGCATCTTGCACATAGATCTATGTCCCTCATCAGTTAATATACCTGGTGGGAGTTTGGGAAACTGACCCCGAGACAAAAAAAAATAACAAAGCAATTTCTCCAGAAGCAGGTTATTGCATTTGCAGAGCACAGAAATAAAGGTGATGTCTGGGGTAACTGGTATCCTGCCTTCTGAAATCTTAAAAAGGACTTTCCACCTCATCCTATGACTATCCATTGGCATAGAAGTCAAAAGCAGTATTTTTGACCCTGGATTAATTTGTTCTAATGAAATCAGTTGAAACACATACCCAAGTTCAGGAGCTACCTTCCCTCTTACTCCAGCTAGCGAATTTCAAGTATGCCACCAGCAGAACACATTTAAACTATTTCTGTAACTCAGTCATACCTGCTGCCATTCCTCAACGTGCCAAACAGGGGGACAATCAATCTGGTTACAAGCTTGTAAAGAATGAGGCTTTTTGTCTTTGCACTCTTGGGCAGCAACAGTGGATCCTCCCTGCTGCCGGCAGGACACGTCTCTCGTCTGTATCCCGACCCCGCAGGTAGCCGAGCAGCGTCTCCAGGGGCCACTGTGCCACCTAGTCCAACAACAGAGCCACACACTCACGTTTTAGCAGCTCACCCCAGACCGGGGAAGGAGCCATCACACCCACACAGAGCCTAGCAGAAACATAACCCCAGGCCTGGCTATTGACAGACAGCGAAAACATCCCCTCGGCTTGGCTGTCACGCAAAATCATAAACTACACTTATAAACTTACAGGTAACAAGAAAAAGGAGAAGTTATTAACAATCAAGTAATAAAAAGTCATTCTGAGACAAATTCAACTCCAGCATTTACTTTGAGAATGCTCCTCACAGAAGAACACAGCCTCTTGGCAACCTGCTGACATTTACATTTATAAATGTAAACACGTAAATAGACCTTTTGTATATTCACAAAACTTCCTTTAAAACTGTGTATGTTTTCTGTAAAACATCCTGTTCCTGTTAACTTCTTCCCTACGTTTTGCAGGAGGAGGTTTCTGGAAATACACAGAAACAATATGCAAAGGATCAGGGATGTTAGAGATCAAAAGTGGGTAAAAATAAGGCAGCGCATTGCATATATGACCCTTTCGAGTGACCAATTTAGCTAAGTTTTCTTGGATTTGAACTGGTTTTGTTAAGAATTTCCCAGAATCTCCAAATAAATATAACAAGACATAAAAACTATGTGAGGCTACTAAAGAGGCATGAAATTAAAATATCTTTAAATCATAATTTCACTTTTTTTCATTCAGTAAGGACAGAAAGTAAATGTTCTCTGTTTTTTTTGTGAAATTGCCTTAAAATTTTCCTCCTACCACTAGAAGAGTTAAAGCTTTTTTTCCAACTCTGGCAAATATCTATGCAGAAGAGATTTATTTCAGAAAATGTTCCCTGTTTTATTAGTGAGATGTGAAGAGTAAAAAAGGAGTGAACAAGACCAAAAAAACAACTCAACCCCAAAAACTCGTTAAGGACAGAAATAGTGAAATTTCATCCCAAAGCAAGACCACAGCCCTGCAATCTAAACCCTTTCTGAGAATGCCAGTGTTTATTTAAGTCGTATTAACCATTTCTTTGCCACAATATGAGTTCATTACTGTGTACCTTGGAGGACAAAGCTTCATATTGCAAGTACGAGCCATCGGTGGAGGCCTCTTGGAATTGTCACACAGGGTTTCATTGACACCTTGTTTTGTCTCTACATGCAGACACATGGCAATGGCTTCTTGTGTTCCTGAATTAAAAAGGAAAACACTCATGCAACACTGAAGATGGAAGAGATTTCTCTTAAACTTACTCGTGAAGAATATTCAGTAAAAAAGCCCTAAGCACGGAATTAGATAGCAGGCTTAGCAGTAACATCTCGGGTCCAAAGGAACATAGAGATTAGTCTATATATTTAATGTTCAAAAGATATTTGTCATTTATATCTAGCACTTTACTGCCATGATATTTAAAAGGCTTGACTGGACATTCTACATCTCTGAAAACCAACAGAAAATAGGCTTTTTTATCTGTCCACCATAAGATGCTACATCTGCCTGGTTCTACAATGGTTCCAAGCCAACTACTGGTTTCATTGCCAAAAGCAGGGTAAAAGTGATTCCTTCTCACTTACCTTGACTTTAAGGAGCTGAAGATTTGCAAGAAATGTAATTTAAAAATGCAGAAAACTTGCAAAACTATAATCAGGAGAATGGCTGTCTAAACATAGAACCTTTCTCACAGGGGCTAAGAGGTGCAATAGTTTTGCTGAAGGCAGCAAATCTGACCCAGCCTAGAGCTTTCCTCACTCATGATCATTCTTGGCACCTTCTGGTCTGCAGCTCTGGCTACCTGGATCTTATTACTGAAGCATGAAAGATTACTAATACTTAAATTTCTTTGAGTCAAAATGAAATGTAATATAAGTTTGCTTTAGAATAAGTCAGCTTAGCAAATACACATTTGGTGAGCTACTTTTTTTTAAACCTCATGTAATTACTCAGTTTTATATATCATATTTTTTAGTCTGAAAGCCTTGCCCATTCCCAAAGCTCACTTACATGCACATGGAAAGCAAGATGGTTTGTGTTGTACTCAGGGGACATCCAGTGCGTCTGGGATGTTCTATATAAGCAGTGTTAATGACCATAATCAAAACATGCAAAACTAAAAAGCACTGAAATAATAAAATACCTATTTTGTTGCTTCCAGGTAAAAAAAGTCTTTGAAGAGTCACTTCAGAGAGTTGAAATTTTCCTTTCCTCCTTTTACTCATCTCCTGTGATTGTGTAAGGATATGAACTTGCTTTCAGCAGCAGGTTTTCTTATGACCAACTTCTAAGGTTTCCAAGGGAGGTGCATTTTTAACCAGAAACCTTCAGTAACCCCTTCACGGTATCACCTATGGCATTACCTCTAAACCTCACCACTATTGTTACACAAAGAATATTACAACTATTGCCACTTCCATGTCAGCTGTGCATGACTGATTTCTTGGCACTATTGACCATTAGCTATGCAGATTTCAGCAGGCGTCACGAAACATCCTACACTGAAAGTTTCATCTCCATGCCAATCGTCTGTATTTCTCTCCTTTACAACATAGTCACGAGCACTGCCATTCTTTTCATAAACCAAAGCTGTTCCTTCAATCTATAAACAACTCTGAGGTAGTCCAGTGTATAAGCCAGCCCAGGCCACAGTCCCTCTTTGTGACACTTGAATCAGTCCAACTATTTCAGAACCTTCAGCAG